ATTGAATCATCATGGCAGCTCGTTCTAGTCTGTCCATAGAAGAGAGGACACCAGTATGCAATTATCTGCACGCTCCACCGTTGATTGTGTGGGCATGGTCGGGGCTCACTAACTGTTGCACCGATGACCATCCTCCTGGCATTTGCCCATTTCCCATTTCCCATTTCGCATTTCCCATTTCGACTGTGTAAATTGGCTTGATTGGCGCCATTAAAATAATTAGCCTCAGCTCCAACGATAATGCTGCCGCAGTGCGCAACTCCCTTGCCAGTTGCCACTGCCACTGCCACTGCCCAACCCACTGCTGATATGCCATATCCACATCCTGGACTGGTCTGGACTGGAGTGCAGAACTATTCCTACAGCAATTGAAGGCGCAGTGCGCAAATCAAATAATTGCGCAATTATTCGGGACGAACCGTATCTGGACACCGGGCAAGTGCAGCTACTCCTGCTCCCAATTATACCCGCATTACAAATGCCATCAATATGTAAACAGAAACTACTTTTGATGGACTACGCTTGGAGACGACTAATCGATCCTCGCTCCCTGATTGAGCTAATCAGCCAGAGGCAGTTCTAATCCATTCTTATTCGCATGCAATGTGACAAGTCTCCAGTTTTTTATGCAAAACTTTGCATATATTTCGTTGATGCCCATGAGGCAGTGACAAAGAAGCTAATGCCTTCGAGAGCCAAGAGGCAAATGTCCTTGCACTGCATTTGGATACTCGAACAAAGTTCAAGACGAAGTGCAGCATTGGGAATTGGAAAATGTTCCAACAACAGCGACAACAAACAACTGGGCCAAGACTAGTCAGTGAGCAAAAGGCAATCGAATGAACAGAGTCAGCTGAGTCGCATCTACTCGTACTTGAGTGTGTTGTGTGTGTGTGTGTGTGTGTGTGTGTGTACACATAATAAAATTAAACAGCTAGAGCAATACAGCACTCACGAGGAGGGCAGGGTGCCTGCGCGTGAAGGGTATTCGAGTGTTCGTTGTTTCAGTGCGTTTGTTTGGCTTGGGGTGGGCAAAGTGGGCGAAAACAATAAACATAAAGTGTACACACAAGTGTGTGTGTGTGTGTGTGTGTTTACCAGCAACTGGCTTATCAATTTCCATGTATTCCCCTCACCGTTCGGCCTTACCTTTTCCTGTGTGTGTTTTTATTTGCCTGCTGGCGGCAGCCATAATCAGTCAATGCCCAGGCTGAAGAGGCTTCAAAATAAGGAATGCCCCAAACGGCGACAGCGACAGCGACAGGGGCAGGCGTGTGACAGAGGATTGCTGAGGAGTTTCTGTGGAAAGCCTGATAAAAGTTTTTGAGCGTTCTCGAATGTCGCCTCAGTGCCTGCTAATTTATGGACGCTTCAGCCTAAGAGGCGTGCATTACCCTGCCCACTCCTAGATACAGATACATATATTCTGTGTGTGTGTGTGTGTGTGTGTGTGTGTGTGTGTACTGTACTCCCTTCCAATTGAATTCGCTTCCCCGCACTCGTGCGACTCGTTATACATGACAAATTTTGATGGGCCATATAATTTCTGGGGAGGCGGTTGGGGTTGGCTCTTTTCTCTCTTTTGTTGACTTCATGGCCGCATCGGCTTTGGGGGGGCTTTGTCTCTGATATCGCCGATTCAGAGGGATTAGTGGGGCACTTTTGGGGGCGTGGTTGAGCTATCAAAATCATTTGTTTGCTAATTAAAATACATTTGCCGACGCGTTGCGTGCTGCTGAGCAATTAACTCGCTCACTCATTCATGCCACTGCCACTGCCACTGCCACTGCCGGCTGCTGTGGCTGGCTCTTGCTCTGCTTTGTGTTTTATGTAGCATACTTTTGAGCGTGCGGCAGGTGGCAGGTGAAACAATAAACCATTCGCTTTCTATCAAATTGACTGACTCTCAGATACCATCGAAGCGACAATTGCGATTGTTTTTTTGTTGTCGACCAGGCAAATACCCTAACATAACGGAGAATGTTGGGATTTATGGGCAGAAAGTTAATCTGCAATTTGCAGTTTCTCTGCATCTGCGATGGTGAACATTTGCTGATTCAATTAGATAACTCTCAATTAAATAACCTTTGGCAACAAAAGAATATGAAAGCCCATTTATGCTTTCAATATATTTGATTTGCCCTCGAAGAGTCAGAGAGAGGAGAGAGAGAGAGAGAGAGAGCATTAGTTGACCTCGCAAATGCCTGCAAATGTTACATTTCATTTCGCATCTATTACGCACAAATAATTGGATGTTGCACGCTGCACACAGGTGACGACAGTCCAAGGCCAATGCGGGCTTCGAATTGCAATCCACGAATACATTTCATATGTAAATAGCAGCAGCACACTCTCTGTGTGTTTTGAATAGATTGCACTTTAATTAAATCGAATACGAAATATAAATATTCTCTGTCTGTAGCTCTGTCTCCCTGCCGGCCAATTCAATGCGGAGGTGGTCAAGGTGGCAGTCAGACAAAGGAAACAACTCCATACTGTGAGGCTGAAAAGGCGTTTTGTTTTCCGTTTGCTTAATTAGGAAAGTTTCCGAAAGACGACACCAGGCCGGCGGAGGAGCAGGAGGCTAGGCTTCTAGGTGGCAGCTGCAAGCGTGCCGAGGACCTTGAGACACAAACTAAAGTTGTTGCCTGTCGCTTCTGCTTGTCACTTGCTAAACGCTGCTGTATCGCTCTCTTTGTTGTACCACGTCCTTGTGCTCCTGTGCGCTGTTCCGCTTCGATGAGCGTAAGGGGGAAATCAGTATTAATTACTTGACTCCTTGTTGGTTGCACGGGATACAAGGCAGACACATGCTTGGAGGTGTCTCTAAGTCTGTAAGTCTCTGTGTTCTGTGTCTGGCCTCACATTAACCAGCCTCGTTCAAGCAATGAGCAAGCCAGCTCAGATGGAAAGTGATTTATGCAGCAGCCCCCAACACAGAAGAAGTAATAAAGTAATGAAGATCATGAACCATTTCTGTGATGGGCAAAGCTCCAATCAAAGGAAAAGACACGGACAGATGGAGCACACAGCAAACTTGTTTCAAACAAATCGTTTCGAACATAAACCACTTCCACTTTCAGTCAACAGTACGCAAGTAGAGTTCCGCCTCCCTTTGACAACTTTACCCACTGGGTTGGGTGCTAGATCTGTCGCCTAATGACCAAGTAAAACAGAGAACTAACAGCGCCGAGTGGGCTGTGATTGATGCACCCGCATCTCCGTCTGTTTCGTGGGGAGAAAAGTTGTTTGCTGCCTCTTGGTTCTGCGGCGTGGCTGTTGGGTTTTGCTTGGATGACGAGTGAAGTTGTATCCAATTGATGGGTCCAAAAGTCATTCCTTAAGCTGCAGGCAGTAGCAAAAGCAGCCACAAGCCGCAGCACGCTGTCTATCAACATTTTAAGCTAATTAACACACACAGACCCAGGGGCGAAGTGGCACACAGGGACCATGGCTGTGGCTGGGGCTGTGGCTGTGGCTGTGGAAAAGCCACATCAAATGTGCGAAAGGAATGGGCGACCGATCCGCAAATGGAATTACAACTTTGCAAGCGAAATAATTGACAAATGGATAGCGCTAATCCCTGCTCCATGGATATCAGAGCTAATTCAACAAGTGGTCAACATCATCAGCAGCATCTGAAATGCGAATGAATCGGAGCGGAATGGAAATGCACATTGCGGTTGTCGGGGAGCCATGCATGGGGGGAGCACCACCCTTGAGGGCTGCTAAATCATTGAGCGGCATAATAGACTCACTCAGCAGACACTGCCGCACACCAGTTGGGGAGTTGGCTCGCCCCAAAATGTTAGCACACACAGATAGAGCCATTGGGAGCCCAACCAAACTCTGCCTACCAAATGGCATGTTCAAACAAAATTAGGAGTGAGCCAGCAGTTGCAGCTGCAGCTGCAGTGGCACGTTGCACGTTGCAGCTGACTGCAGTGGGCACTGCAGGGTGGGTGCCCTGTGGAAAGTAAAGAAGAGAATTAGCAACAATAAATTGACCGGAAGTTGCCGCCCCAAATTGAAAGGAGCCAAACGTAGGGCTAGGAGGAGGATTCCTTATCCTCGGAAAAGCAGCAAAGCGAAAGACCGGAAGACCAACGAAGAGCGTAGCCCCAAGTGGGCGTGGCATGTTTGTCTGCGGCTGCTCCTGTGGCAGGAGCATGTCTGCGTGTGTGTGGTACGTGCCCCCAGTGTGTGCAGCGAGAGAAAAAGTCTTCAAAATTGAAACATTTCCACTCTGTGGCGCGTGTCTTACCTTTTTTTCTCTGGGTGTATTTCTGTCTGTCTAGTTTGAAATTCTTTGGGAAGAGCACAGCGGAACCTGAGAGCCTCTACCCCCTCCCGAGCAGACAGACGTTGCATACAGATTTTCAATTTCCATGTCATGTGGGACACAACCGACGGCCTGTGGAGTGACTGCAGTCTGCCGCTGCCTGGAGTCCTCTTTTTGGCAAATTTCCTTCCACAAAATGTTGCATGCTGAATCCCGAATCGAAGCAAAACAAAGCACAAACCCCAAAGCAAACCTAAACTATTGTACGACAGCCACAGCAGAACAATGAAACGAATGGAATGAATGGCTGTGGAATGTTTTAACAGGCCAAAGTTTGAGCCAGACGGACGCTTCAGCCTCGCAGCCAGAGAGGAAGGGCGTGCAGAAGATATTTCAAATGTTTGTCGGGTGGGTGCCTGGCTCAACCTCTGTCGCTGTCCATCGATGTGACGTGCATAACTTGACAAAAACTTGCCACCAACAGAGGGGCAGGGACAATGGTTTGCATACGAGAATGGAGCTCGAAGTGCAAGCAAAGACAACATACAAATACTTGTACCCTTTACAATGAATACATTGGGATGGGATGGGATGGGCTGGGATGGAGATATTTGCTGAATATTCCCTGCTGGTGGGAGGCTTCGTTGGGTATTCTTCTGCTTCGCTTCATGGTTTTGTGTGTGGGTTTAACTAACCATTTATGCTCATGTCATTCCAGGTGAATACAAAATGTCATCCACTGTTCTGCATGCCGGTGGGGCAGCGGCGGATGATTACCATCTGGCCGCGAGCACCTCGGGCGGTGGTGACGGTGCCGGCAGCGGTGGCGGTGGCGGTGGCGGCGGTGGCGGCGGTGGCGAGAAGCTTAAGGATATGCCAGAGAAGTACGTAATGGCGATTGTCAATTTTCTGGACTGGCACGTCAACTCGACAGCCGACATGGAGCGGCTCAACCTGAAGGCGAGCATCAAGTCGGTTTATTGGCTTTTCCTCATCCAATACGCGGCCTTGGCCATCCTTGGCGTGATTCTTAATATCGCAATTATCGTGTACATTATGTACCATCGCCTGTACAAGGATGTGACACACTCATTCCTGATCAATCTGGCCCTGTGCCACTTTGTCCAGTGCGCCCTGGTCCTGCCCGTCTCGCTGATGGTGATGCTCATCCAGAACTGGATCTTCGGGCAGTTTCTGTGCTTCTTTCTGCCCATGCTACAGGTGAGTCCATGACTTATTTGCAGGTACATTTTGCTGAGTGGAAACGGCATCATCCGCTTCCGCTCAATTGAGCAATCTTTGGCCTGCCGCACCTCATTATTGGCACACCCATCGTGATTGACAAGCGCAGAAATTACACGCAAATAAAATCATTGTAACGCTGGCAGACTACCGCAGTCCTTGGCATTGCAGGGGGGCAAGAGAAAATGGATTCGGTGGGCCACATATCTGGCGGCACAGCGACAGGCCCTTCAATCTGTGGAGCAGACAAATGATTACATTTATAACCTTGACGCTGCAGGAGATTCTATTACTTGATCCAAATGGTTGCTGTATCAGTACGGGATATGATTTGATTTGATTGCCATCACAAAAGGGCGACAAATAGCTCTCCCACACACACACACACACAACAGGCAGCCAGAGGACACACACAAAAAGTGGCTTATCCCCCGCCCTGCCTTTTGCCAAATGATTGATGGGTGGAGCAGCGGGTGGCAGAGTCTGACTTAAAGCTGACAAATGCGCGAATATATCGGCAGCTCCATCAAACCCCTCCGCGACTGTAATTGCTTTGCTTTTGCCTTGTCTCTTTGCAGGACATTCCGCTACATGTGGCCATGATATCGCACATCCTGATTGCCTGGGATCGCATGCGCTGGCTCAACGATCCGCTGAAGGGCCGACTGCCGGGCTTTGTCTGCTGCTGCGCCACCTGGCTGACTGGCATGGTGATTGCCCTGCCCTATCCCATATACACCTTCTACGTGGAGCTGGGGGTGAGTACGGGGCGTTGCTTGATTGAAAATAAAACTTTGTCACGGCAACCGAAGATCAAAGCGAGTGCACTAGACCATAAAAGCGGCCCAAGACATATGCGACGAGACTTGACAACGCTTTTCGATGAGCAAGCTCCGAGTTGTTCCGAGTTCGCTCCGTGAACCAGCTCTTCTGTTGTTACTTTTAATTGACATTTTTGGCAGACTTCATGTGGAAACATCTTACATGTCCCACGGCTGTGCTTAGTCCAACAGAATTTGCTTGCAATTTGCTGACTGGGAGACCGAGAGTCTGGGGCTCAATTTCAAACTCGTTAACATCGTCCTGTCAGCGTTGTCTGCCTGTCGGCCTGCATTTTGTTGCCAAAATATCTTGGCTCTGGCTCTGGCTCTCCCTGTGGCTGTGCCTGTGCCTGTGTCTGCCTCAAAGTGCGCCCACAACAGCAACAAGCAACAAGAGGCATAAATATTTATAGCCCATAAAGTGTTGCAACTTTTTGATACACTTACTCGCTCTCTCCACGTCTGCCTGGGGCTGGGCCAGACTCTGGCATTGTGTCATGTCCTCCTCACTGGGGCAAGCTCCTCCCTCCTCCCTCCTGCCCTTTGGCCTTGCATATTGTATAACAGCTGTGGGATCTTTGCGGAGGCTTTCGGGGTGCAAACATTAAACTTGACGAAGATCGTACAGACAGTCCCCAAATGTAGATCGTCAGCTGACTTTCTGATTTCCTTGGCGATAGTGCGGGAAGGTTGACTGAACCCTTGGCAAATCATTTTGTATAATTTTTGTGGCAATTCATTGAACGCCGAAGCCCTTAAGAACTGTCAGGCAACAAGTGGGGCCACCAGGCACAGCGCTGTCCATGTTGCTGATGCTGATGATGATGGCCCATACATAGGTGCATGGGGACACACCACCACCACCACTCCACTCTGGCTGCCTGGCTGCCTGGTAACAGGCTCATTCGCCTGTCAATAATTTCATTAATTCAATATTTGCGTATAATTTGATGGCTCCACTCCAAGGCTCACCAAGGAGCTGCCGGGAGGAGGGCTTATTATCTCTGTTTCGGGGCATGAAGGTCTCCCGCTTGTGGCAATTTATGAATATTTTAGCATTTTATTACGGACACACCCAACGGACAGGAGTGTGGAGCATGTGCATATGCGACGTTCTTCCTTGTACTTTATAAACAATTCCATGTGGACTCTGATTGCCAATTCGCAATTTGGCAGGCGATTCCACAAGACAGAGCAGAGGGAGAGCCTGGGATCTCAGGAAACGATTCTCCATTTAATAAGGAAAAGTTTGCCCAGCCCCAGCTCACAGCCTCCCCTCCTCTCTCCCCCTTTGGCTCTCTGTTTATGGCCAAAAGTCAAACACTAAAATGAATTGCTTCATATAGGTAGGGTCCAGTCCAGTCCAGTCCAGTCCAGTCCAGTCCAGACCTGACCTGTCCGCTCCGATTCGGTTGGGCTTTGGGCTCTGGTATTTCCAGGTAATAATCGTGGAGGCTGCCATAACTGGCCAACGAAACTTTGCTGTTTGTTTGCGTGTTTGGCCTGGAAAAGTGTCAGAAACTTTTCCACAAAACAAATTGAAAATATTTTCCATATTTTCCACGTGGCACCTGTGGCCAGACGAGGCCTCGGCTTCCCTTTGTGTGGCGGGCAAATTGATTTTTTAAGTTGTCCCCAAACAAATCAGAGTGGAAAACAAATAAAATCCCTCTACCTTCATCAAGTAGAGCCCTGAACAAATGGCTCTGGAGTGGTACGCAGCCCTGCCCCGAATTATTTTTGCCACTCCAAAGGTCCAAAGATCTGCCACACGGCATGAAGATCGAATCCTGAATGTACTCCAACTTGCCGGCTTCCTCTAATCTCCAGCTCCAGTTCCATTCCCATTCCCATTTCCCATTTCCCGCCTTGCATTTCCTTGGAAAGGACATGAAAATTCCAGTCAGAGCTAACATTAAGCAGCGTAAGGCAGAGTTATGGCCACACAAGAGGTGGGACATTTGTAGGTAGATCTTTCTTAGCAATGAATCCATATCCATGCACAAGTTGCTCGATGAGAAAGAAACTTTAAATACAATCAACTGGCGGCCCTGGGCCTTGGGCTCGTTGTAACAATTTGTAAGAATTACACATGCAGATTGGAGGGAGCGGAGGCGAAGCGTTGCGTTGGGTTGGGTTGGGTTGGGTGCATAAATGAGACTTCCGCCTTAACCGGAAATCAAAGGACTTCGCGAGGGTTCACCTCGGGCACGGGGCATTCGTGTGGTTCTTTGCTGCCCGTCCTGCCATGTCCTGTATGCTTCTCCCGCCGCACTTCCTTCTGTTGCCTTTTGCCTTCATCTTCATCATTATAAATGTAACTTTGTTAGCAGCCAGAGGTTGCTGTGTGTGTGGACTTATTAAATTGCCATTTACCAGTACACAACGAGCAATGCAAATTGCAACATTGTCGAAGAGAATTAGTTGATGTGCACCCACAGGGTCGCAGAGGGCAGTGTCGTTTCAGCTGAAATGGGCAGCAGAACTTATCAGGCAAATGGATGCAGCATCAGTCAATCAATCAATCAATCAAACAAGCTGGAGCGCAAGATGTTGCAGCAGTCTCCAAGGAGTTCTGCTTCCATCCTCCCTCCAGCTGCCAGATGATGGCCATTTTCAGTAATTGAAATGAAGGAATTTTGCACTTTCCACACCAATTCCACCAGCTGCACATGGGGAGGGCACATGTTTTGGGCATAAACTCTTTTAATTGTGAAAAATCGCGACAGTTTTTTCCCCCAAAGAAAATGCCAAGGAAACTGCACACACAGGAGGGACTTCATTTTGATTTTGTTTAACACAAAATTTAATGGCCACTAATGATGTTGCTGCTGCTGGCCCCGCTGCCTGGCTCTGTTGCAAAATGGCGTGGCAATGGCCAGCGAAATGGTGGCAAGGCGATTCCTTGCCTTTGATGCGTGCTGCAATCAATTTTTATGCGGCAGCAGGAGGAAGCAACAGCTTGCGAGGCAACTAATGACATTGATAATGGGGCGTTTGGGGGGCATGGGTGTGGCCACAGACAAAGGAAGATCCCAATGCATCGGTGGTTAGTTCTCCCCTTGCTGTGAGCTTTGTTTTTCCAGGCATTTCCTTTGTTTTCCCTGGCTCAAGAGTTCAATCGCTGGCGCAATGCTCGGGTGTGCCAGGAGTGGCACGAATTCCGCGTAAACGTTTTACATATTGTAAAATAACAATATCATCAAATTCGTGGAAAATAGCAGACGACAGGGGGACAGAGGGACAGGCTGCGTGTGGAGCAGGAGCCGCCTTGGAGGTTGTCAAATTGTTGGCTGCCGTGAAATGGCAGCTCAAATTTCGTTATAATATTTAGGCGCTTTCTCTCTCTCTCTCCTACTGGAAGTGGCAGCGTGGGCTGAGTGCTTGGGTGATTCGCTGATTGGGTGTGCCGTGTGGGTGGCTGCTCCAAGTGCTCCAAGTGCGACGTTCTTTAAAGCCGAACATTGTCCCCTCATGCGGGGTCTGCCCGGCCAAAGGGTTTCACATTTTGAGCATTAAAGAAGACTTTGCTCACAATTATCGATCTGCCAGGCTATCAATGGTGCTTCGTGCTCATTAAGCTGCCGTTTATTGTGTCTGCATTTGGTTCGGTTATTCTGCTGTAAGCAGCTTAGAGCTCTAAATCACTTGTTGTCCGGGGCCCGGGGTCCGGGGTCCGAGACGAGCGAACAAAGGGCAGCAAATAACTCAAAGTTACTCCACTCCCCGTGTCCGATGATGAGGGATTGCTGCATGTGCGAGGCGAAGCCTCTCAGACATTTCCATTCGCCAAAGGAAACCTCAGTTTTGGGTCTGGCCAGCACCTGCAGGCAATGCCAATTTCAATTTCTCGTCTGAGACCAAAAAAAACCAAACTTTCAAGTGGCAAAAAAGCACTTTCCCAGCCAGGCTTAAGTTTATTTTGCTTTGGATCCGAGTATATCTGTCTGCCATCTTGCTTGCTCCTATTTATGGTACAGAAGCAACAAATGAAGTGAGAAAGAGTCCTCCCACTGCAGTGCCAGCTGGCTGTACATTCTGCTGCAGATCGGAGCACAGATTTCTCCTTTTCTTTCAGTTCCGAAAGCATGGTTTCCGCTTCGTTTGCCTGTCGCCTGTCACGCCAAAGCAGCGTGAAAAAATTCATGAAAAATCCAAATCAAAGCCGACGACTGTCCACTCTCTCTCTCTCTCTCTCTCTCTCTCTCTGCACTGTATCCTTTTTCTGTGTGTGCGGTGTCCTTGCGCTTGTGTGTGTGTGTTTTTTGTGCACTTTACGACTTTAATTATGTAAGTACATAATTGTGTTATTATCGTAAGCTCACGGAGCGCAACACATGCCGTCTGGGTTAGGGGTCCTGACCCCCCCTACAGCTGTGGGTCCATGCCGAGCTCCGGGTGGGTGTGTCTGTGTCTTTGTGTGTGTTTGCTGTGCACCCAAGCTCGTCGCTGGCTGTCCGCTTGGCAAGCATTTTACGGCCATTAAGTCCGGCAGTGTCTTTTTCGGTAATGCCACCAACGTCCACCGTTATGCGGCAGACACTTGCCACTTGCCACCAGCCTCTGGCCAAGGTCCTTATCGGGTGCTTTTTTCGGTCACTCCACGACCAGGCCTAACCTTTGGCCTGCTCCTTTTGCTGTTTACACTAGAATCTCTGGACCAGAACGTGCCCTCCCATCCAACTCCGACTCCTGCTCCCTGCTCCCTGCTCCCTGCCCCCTGCTTTGCTTTCATTGTTTTCCTATTATTTAAATTACCAAAAAATTTCGCTTTTAATTATGCATTGGCAACATTTTCCCTTCTTGTTGTTGTCTTAGCCTGCCCTTCGACCTTTGCTTTGTCTGTTGTCCCATTAGAAACGATTTTTGCCCCGAACAAAAATGGTAAGACTCGCGATTATTATTGGTAACCAGAGGTCGGCCCCCGCCTGCCTCCTTCCATGACTTTTTCCTCCATTTTGCTTTTACGTTAAATATTTTCTTTTAATTAGAGCGTGTGTGTGGGGGAGGGGAAGGGGAAGGGGAAGGGCACTGGTGGGGGGTTTCAATTCAATTATCGCTTTTTGATAACTAACAGAGAAAAATATGCAAGTAATGCCCGAAACATCTGAGGCTGACAAATGAGCATTTCTCCCTCCTCTGTGTACCGTTTTTCTGCATTTTATTCATTTGTTTTGTTCACTTTGTTTTTGGCTGGAGCTCAGTCGAGGACATCGCAATATGAAATCAAATTTCAAACGAATTTCAAACCGAATAACATCTCCGATGTCTGTCCTTTGTGCCCCCGAAAAATGAAACTGAAGCTGGAGTGTGTGTGGAGAGAGCTTTTGGGTTTAGATCCCTGGATCAAAATGGTCTCTGATCTCTGGCTCTGCCTATGGCTAACTGAGTCTCTGAGCACTTGTAAATTGTTATTAAGCGCTTTTCATTTTCATTTCCGGGCCATCCAATAACCAGTCTTCGCCTCCTCCATCCTCGCGCATCCTTCAGCAGCGATTCGTCAAAGTCAAAACTGGGACGACAGTATGGATGATAAGACTTTGCTCGTACTTCTGCCTCAGCCACTGCCCCTGGGCCTGGGCCTGAGCGTGGTCTTTGAGGTATCTATGGAATGCTGGGTCCTGCCTCCTGCCTCCTGACATGGCGGAAATAAATTGTTATTAATGTGCGCTCGCCTGTGGCTCTGGTTCGGCTTCTGTTGCTGCTGAAGCTGGAGACCCGCGCCGAGTCCAGAGTCGATAAATTATTTGGAAACGCGCGCCAAATTGTAAATATCTTTATGCCCCCACTGGCGGCGTTCTCTTTCTGCTCTCTGCCCAGACGTGGGCGTGGCGTGGCCAGAAGCTCGAATATTGTGAGCCAATTTAATGGCCTGGCCACTTGTTGAAAGCATCATCATCATCATCATCATCGGCATCCTCATCGTCCCATTGTCGCTGCCATTCTGCACTGTTGGGGCAGTGGGTGGCTCCTCATCCAACCATAAACTGTTTACGGGCGAGCCTCAAATTGATTTGTGCCCAACACGAATCAAATCAATTGCATTAGCCGAGAACCCAGCGAAGGTAATCATAACTCGGGCAGAGCGGACAGAGCGGACAGAGAGCGAGGGAAAGATCCTTTGGCCACTGCCATAAACACGGAGATGAGCCGAAATGAGAGATGGCCATAAAAAACACACACGCAGAAGGCAGGGCAAGGCGAGAAGTCCGAGTCCCGCTTGACAGCCACTGGCAGGACGAAGATGGAATACTCTCGCAGCAGCAGTTTGCCAGGCAGGAGGGGGGGCTCTGCTCTGGGAGAGCATCCCAGAGAGCATCTGTGTCGCTGTCCTTTCGTTCGTTTATTTGCATTTTGGCCAAAGTATTCAAAACAGATTTGTTGGCCAGATTGTACGGCGCTAACAGTTCATTACCCAAATGACTGCGTGGCTCTGCGGGGATGGGCCAAATGGGATGGGCAGCAAAAGGTTTCATTACATTTTCCTGGCGGGTGCTTCGAATGGAAAACTTTTTCCTGCTGCTGCCTCCAGCCCACTCTTTATCTTAGCCCCTCGCCCCACTCGGGTCATAGTTTACGATTTGATTTAAAAGTTTTGGGCCCCAGTTTTGGGCGGTGGGTGTAGCCAGCCGCCTGCTGTCAGGAGAGTTTCTAACTTTTTAATAGTTATTCATACAAAATCATTTACGAGTGGCCTCCCTCTTCCCCGCCCCCACAGCATCACCAAATCAATGTGTGTGTGTGTGTGTGTGTGCGGAACATCCGTTTGCAAGTAAGGAAACTTTAAGAAAAGTTTCAAGTTGCAGTTGCTCCTTGCTCCACCCGTTTAGCCGCGAATCGAGTCCCATCCCATTGATTGATGGCAGAAGAGCTGCAAGCTCGATTATGCCATTGTCCACTTTCTGCTTACTTTTCACTCGAATTGGCACTGCCAAATCTTTCCACTTTCCAATTATATCTTCCCCTTTCACGGCTCCACCCTCCGCTTGCCACTTTTGTTGACTTCCTCTGCCTGCAGTGCCTGCTCTGCTCTCATCAACGGATACATTTGGACATCGCTGCGGAGCACCTGAACCCGCACCACCAGATTGCCATTTAATGAGAAAATAACTTGGATTTGGCCATGAATTCATTTCCGCTCTTCTGGCTTCATTTCCTTCGCTGCTCGGGCAAAACTTTTTCGCTACGCGTGAATTCATATGTAATTACAATTACGGCGTAATCTCTGTCCGGGGGGTGTACACGAGCAGACAGTACAATCAGTTTTGGGGAGGAGCTGCAAGTGGGCCATGGACATGGTCGTGGCTCTGATTTGGAAGCTCTCCCCCCGGTCTGTGTGTGGGTTTCGGGGGTTCTGCTGGTGGCTTAGGGTTAAGGGCGGCAAGTTGATTCAATTAATGCTTGGGCCAGAGCAATCGATAGAGGGTGGCCCCTGGACGCACCCAAGGCACACCAAACAAGCAGTTTAAATACATATTTCAATGAATATTTACTCTCTGTATTCGCATTTCACTTGTATTTGTCCTGCAGGACTACATGCCGCAGCTGGCCGGGATTGGGCTGTGCGTCGTGAACTTGATGGACGATATGCAGGAGTATACCAGAGGCCTGTTCCTGCTCATGTGAGTGCATCCAGCCCCCCATACAGTCTGATTGCATTAATTACTCCGAGATTGCAGGTACTGTGGCCCCGCCATCCTTTTGTCCTACCTTTATATCCGCACGTCGCAGGAGCTGCGTCCGCCGGAGGGACCCTTCGCGGTCATGATGTACGAGCACCGAGCGGACCTGCGGATGCGCCAGCGGTGAGTGGGAGTCAAACTCAATCAGAGGCCGGCACTTTTGTCTGCTAATTGGATCCATTTAGTGTGTGGGATTACAGCAGGAGGAGCAGTAATCCGACACCACCATTCCAGTGAGCGGGATTCCTGTCTAATTAGATATTTTGTGTCCCAGGCATTCGTCGACGTCGTCGGCCGAGCCGCGCACCCTCAGCGGCGGCGGTGTGGCGGGATTGAGCAATGGGAACCATGCGAGCAGCAGATCCTATGACTTGTACAGCGCCGAGCTGGATGTCCATCGGGAGAAGCGAAAGCAGCGGAACTTCGGGAGCATGGCCGCCACCCAGGTGGTCTGCGTGTGCCCCCTGATGATCCTCCGCTTTGCGCGCCTCTCGCTGGAGGAGACGTACGAGAACCAGAAGCACTTTGACTTCACCTACCTGATGTTCGTGTGGGTGGCCTTCCTCCCCACCGTCATCTTTCCCTGCATCTACGCCTCACAGATACTGCCCAGGTAAGGGTCCACATCCCCCGAGGATCCCCTGATCCCCCCCATGACTTTTATTCTTCCATTTGCCAGGGATGAGCAGGAGCGTCTGCGGGGCTACTTTCGTCTCTCGTCGAAGAGAAAGCAGAAGACTCAGCGGCGCAGCGATGCGGCACGTGGCTCACGGGAGGACTCCATCGAGAAGGATGAACCCACTAACACCACCACCATCCAGGCACACCAGGGACACCAGGGTCACCAGGGACACCCCGAGCCGCAGCACAAGCATCCGGCCAAGGTGCGGCACGAGCGGACTGCGGGCCATGGCTCCACCGGCGAACGCTACAGCGGACCACCCCACAGGCAGGGCAAGGACAGAGACAGGGAGAGGGAGCGCATGAGAGGCGGACGCGGACCTGGCGACGCTGGCGTGGTCAACAATCTGGGCAAGGATGTGCGCGGCAAGAAGCACGATGTCAAGATCAACATCATCTCCGATGGGGGACATGCCGGCGGCCATCACCAGAGGAAACAACCCGCAAGCAGCGGCAGTGGCAGCAGCAACCGCAGCAGACCGACACCCAATCAGCGGCAGCTGCGCAGTGCGGAGTGCATGTCGGGCATAACCGCCTCATCCTATTGCAATGGGAATGGAAATGGGACTGGGACTGGGAATGGGACTGGGACTGGGAGCATGCTGGATGACAGCGGCACGAGCAACTATGGCGATGGGGAGGAGAGCTCCGTGGTGAGCAGCATGATGGTGGGGCCACAGCGTTGGCCAGCAGCAGCAGCAGCAGCGGCCGGCGGCGGCGGGGTGGGGCTGCGACACAAGGACATCTCGTTCAGCGAGTGCAGCAGCAGCACCTTCTCGTCCAGCACCCTGGAGCGAGACCTGGAGATCATGGACCAGCTGGAGCGCGAGCGGAGCATGGACATCCAGGAGATGCTGCTGCGGGAGCAGCGCGAGAAGAGCCGCCACAGCGGCGGTCGCCAGCTGCCGGACATCGAGAAGCTCTATGCCCAACGCTCGCCGAAGGCCAAGCGGGAGGCTACGGCCTACGGCTACGACAAGGCCGCACTGGCCTTGGTCCTGCCCGGCAACGATCCCCTCAGCAGCCTCTCCCTCACCGGCAGCAGCCAGCCCACAGAGTACAGCCTGTGCTCCTCCCTGCAGGATCCCGGTGTGGAGCATCGACTGCATGAGCAGCATGCGGGTGAGAATGAGGTTGAGGAGGAGGAGGAGGAGGAGGAGGAGGAGGAGATTGTGCCACCGGATTTCTATGACAACTACACACCAGGCGGTGCACAGAACTTGCCACCGGCTGTCGCCCAGGCAGCCAGTGCCCAGGCGGTGGCATCCGTTCCGCCGCCCGCCTATCAGTATCAGTACAGTCGGAATCGGCTGAGCCGGAAGAGCTCCAGTGGGTCGCACCACCACCCACACGCGGGCGGTGCCATGTCGTCGCGCGGCTCCAAGCGGGACAGCTTCAACTCGCTGAACGGCACCGACCTCATAGCCGGTGCCTTCTGCGAGCTGGATCCGACGCAGCCGCTCAACAAGATGGCCGTCATCGAGGGTCGGATGCGCCGCAGCAGTCCACGGAACGCCAGCTTCAGCTCTGGCTCGGGCTCCGCTTCCGGTTCCGGGCGCAGCTCCATGAAGTCCTCCTCGCGGGACTATGGTCACGGCTCCTCCTCGCACTCGGCCCATCCCGAGCTCGATTTCAGGGAGAACATTTTCGCAGAGTTGTAAACAGGGAAGAGAGTAAAGAGGAATGAGGAATGAGAGTAAGGAAACGGAACGAAAAGCTTTAGCCTGAGAGCCTGAGAGTCTGGAGTTCATCCTCTCTCTCTCTCTCTCTGCAGGATTCACACGAAACAATTTGTTATGGCGATTGTAGGTTTGCTCAGAGAATTGTTAGGCGGTTAATCAAACACACACAAAAACCAAATTTAATTCAACTCAACAAACGAGAATACTACAAAAGAAAGGATAATCGAAGCAGAATACAGCTGCAGCTACAGATGATAAATGATGAATGGATTTGTATGCAACGTTATTTGAATACTGGTTGACTGTTGAGTTGATTTATTGATTGATTGATTGTTGATCCTTGCATCGATGATAAATGTGCCAAGAACCCCCCCCCCCCCCCCCCCCCCCCCCCTCCTCATCGTTCATATCTTAATAGAAGAAAAAATATCACATATTAATTCTCAAACTATTATTAATATTTTTTTTTTTAAACTACTAAAAAAAA